ACACCGATATTTTATTAGGCATATCTGATTATTGCCTGACCTGCCCCAACTTAAAGCAGCATTTTTTTAATCTAGGTTCTAAGATGTGTGAGCTGTTGGTCTGCAGGTTTTCTAGAACCGGACACTGTCGAGCAAAGCATCCACGAAGCTTACATTGAAACGATCATGAGAGCCCAGCATTATATTTACATTGAGAATCAGTTTTTTATCAGTCTTCCTTATCACAATCCCAATACGAAAAACCAAATTGCTGAAGCACTGTACAAAAGGATCATAACAGCCCATAAGTAAGTGTAGCATGGAATTTTCCTACCTAATCCAGCAATATGTTGTGACAATATAATAAAAAACAAAGCCTTTTGAATATTATGTTTTTCGTGCTTCTTGCAGGCGAAACTTTTTTTCAAGCCCAAATTACCAGATTGTCAGTTCCAAAAACGTCAATGTATTAGGTTGTTCGGAAAGTTCTTGTTAGTTATATTTTAAAGATGTATTTTAGACTAAAATTTATGTATAATACTTTGACTTTATATATCATTTTAAAGCGCGTTTCTCGGTCTATCTAGTCGTTGTATTCGTTGTGTTTTACGATAATTTTCTTTTTTCACAACTTCAAATATTGGACAAGAGGCAAGTTCGCGCGATTTTCTTATTCCATTACAAATTAGATCGAAAAGCTGCCGAGACAGCTCGCGATATCAACGATGCGTTTGCCCAAGAACCACTAAAGAACGTATGGCACAAGGGTGGTTCAAGAAATTCCACAGTGGTGATGAGAGCCTTTTTTTTACTAACTATCACGAAGGCCTGAACACCCATTGGGTACCGTGGGGCTATAGGGGGATACAGGGGAAAGGGGGAACGCCACACGGACTCTGGCGAGGGAACACGTGTGCATGCAACATGCACACATCCTGGCTCCGCGTACGAGATCCGCCGGGTGGTACCTCCGCGTTCGACAGTCAGAGACATCTACGGACAATCACCAACATCCATAGCCAAGAAAAAAATTTCTTGCTGGGACGGGATTCGAACCGGCACAGCGCACGGCGACTGATCAGAGACCGAAGAGTCTACTACTGCGGTCCACCGCTGCTGCCTTGAAGATGAAGATGAAGAGCACACTGGTCGGTCACATGATGTCTACGACGACGAATTAAAGACCGTGGTGGTCGTTTGAGGTGGCGTCTTCCCTTCTACTACGCAACAAAAACTACCTGTTTCTTGACATGTGGTGAAAAGTGGATTCTCTACGACAATAGGTGACGTTATGCGCAATGGTTGGATAGCGAAGAGGCTCCACAGCTCTTTCTGAAGCCGAAAATTCCATCCAAAGAAGGTTATGGTGACTGTTTGGTAGCCTGCAGCCGGTCTCATCCACAACAGTTTTCTAAATCCGGGCGAAACGATACGGCTGAGAAGTAATGCCAGCAAATCGATGAAATGCATTAGAAGTCCCTGACGTACGTTAGGTCAATATGCACGGGCCAATCGCCGGATTTCTGGTCCACCGACTACCACTTTTTTTGTGTTGAGTTCATCGCCTCCACAAACTCCGGATATCTACGTTTAGCGACGTAATTAACTTGTGTCTTATTGGCAAAAGTGTGCTGATTCTAAAGGTTTTTATTTTGATTAATAAAGTTTTGCTAAAGCTGAGATATGCTCCTTTGAATTTGAAGGTTAAGAACCGCAAGAACTTTCCGAACAACCTAATATAAAGTACCAAGACTAGTTATTGGGTTCTACGGAAAAGTTGTCCGATTACAGAAGTTTGTTAATACTTTGCTTCTTTCAGGTCAAAACAGGTGTTTAGAGTGTATGTTGTCATGCCTCTTTTACCAGGGTTTGAAGGTGAAGTAGGTGCACCATCAGGAACTTCATTACATGCTATAACACATTGGAACGACCTGTCAATATCACAGTAAGATGATTTTCAAGATATTTGTTATTTCATAGCTTAATCATGACATTACTATTTTTAGTTTGACGACACTCATTGACTATCTGTTTCCGATTTCAGGGGCAAAGACGCAATTTTGAATAGGCTGAAAGACGCAGGAATCGAAGATCCGTCTCAGTACATTAGTTTCTATGGTCTTCGGAACCATTCTACTCTGAATGGAGAACCCATAACAAGAACTAATTTTACGTCCATTCAAAGTTGATGATTGTCGACGACAAAATTGTCATTTGCGGTTCTGCCATATCAACGATAGATCTCTCATTGGTAAAGGGATTCTGAACTCGCTGTTGTTGATTATGAGGTAAGAGTGCTATGGGAAACATTTCTGTTGCCTGAACGTGAGATATCCCAACAAATTAAACAAAGTAAAAATCCTCCAGATTTTAGGGGAAATTCCCCCAACATGGCAACCCTGTCAAAGCATCACTGGTACTCCAGGTGACAGGTTTCGAGATCGTTTTTACACCACGAACAACACAGCCCACGCTTCTACTGGTATATAAGGTTCCGTATGGTAGGGCTATGTTCTCACTGTCATTGATTGAAAAAGATACAAAATCTTTGTAAACCAAAGTATTTGATAAAATGGTACTTACGTTAAAATGATCTTCACTACAATATGTTAACACCGGTTTTAACTTAGCATCTCGGGGAAAGCGAAAAATAAACTTTATCTTGTGCTTTCCGTATAGTCTTTTTATACATGGGTACACTACAGTACTTCTTCGTCAATGCTTCCGTTTTTGTTTTTTTCAATAAAACCAGATGATATAATATATATATATATATATATATATATATATATATATAACAAGTAGGAAATAATGGGCAAAAATCCGCAAAAAGGAGGAAAGTGGATTCGAGCAGAAAATAGGATAGGTAACCCGAGCGATACGTATTTCTGCTGGTTGGCTTCATCAGGCCCGAAATGAATGCACATATGAAACGACAAAAGTAGATACACATGCCCACACATCCGGATACGGGTGTAACCTGAGGAAACGAAGATGGAGAGGAAAAAAACGACACACGAAGTCCACAACAAGAGCCAACCTACACATTGTAGTATAAAATGGCTAGAAAAGACCTCGAATTTTCAAGGAGACATCTAACCACAACCACGCGGCCGGTTATAGCCACTTGCTGTGGTACATTTCGGGCCTGATGAAGCCAACCAGCAGAAATACGTGTCGCTCGGGTTACCTATCCTATTTTCTGCTCGAATCCACTTTCCTCTTTTTGCGGATTTTGCCCATTATTTTTCTACTTTTTGTTATATACCTTCTCCGCATGATCATTTTCTCTCTCTCTCTCTCTATATATATATATATATACAGGGTGGCCTATCCTTGTGTGGACAGAATTTTACTCATAAACAAATACATTTTGGGAAAATCTATTTATGGCATCTTATATATGACATTTGAGGGCACATTTCTAAAATATTAGCAATTATACAGGGTGTCCCAATTTTGACCTACATATCAAAGTTGTGATTTTTTAAATGGAATGGCTCAAATTTTATTGCATATTTGGATAAACCAATTCAAAGGAAGAAGATTGATATAACATACTATGGGGTTTTGGTAATTGGCTACTGAGATGTAACGTGTTTTGTCCAGAAAAACCGTCCACTTCAGCAACCCCTCAATCCGCAATTTTGAAATTTGGCGTGCTGAATTTTCTATCAAAAAAACTTACACACCTAAACTTTTATCTTATTTGTTACTTTTTCGAATTTTCATTTTTGGTCATACAGGGTGGTCAAAAATTTCAAATGCATCACCCTATATATTTGTGCCATTTTGGAGTCAATTTTTTATAAGCCTTTTTTTGTATAAGGTTTGATTCAGATAAAATCACTAGATTTTGAGTTATTAAGCTTTTAATAGATCAACACACCAAAATTAAGGGAAAAAATCACATCATCCATGGAAACAAAAGATAAACAGTGAGCTAGTTCCATATTGCCACTAAGAGTACAGATTTGACGTAAAAACGAATAACAATCAGAACACTATAACAACAACATAAACAAACAACTATCACTAGTCAAGACCTAATCTACAAAAACTGCCCGAAAATATCTCCACCATGTTGAATCGGTGGACATGGTGAAAGCACTTTTTCCTCAAAACCTTATATCGAAGTTTGGAGCCATCAACTGGCCTTCTAGGTCACCCGACCTCACGCCATGCGATTATTTTTTGTGGGATTATCTAAAGTGAAAAGTGTATTCCAATAATTCATGAACACTGGAGGAGCCTAAAGACAACATTCGACCAAAAATGAACAACATCGATCCGGAACTCTGCAAGATGATGATGATATTTAAGAAATAAAACCCATCGAATTTACGAATATGTTGATAGTAATTAATATTTTCGTTTCATTAAATTTGTATGTTTTTTTTTAAATCAAAACTTGAACCTTCCCACTCGACACACTGTATCAACGGAAATAATCTACAGAAAAAAATAAAAACAGAATGGGAATACAACTGTAAGATATGCCGGGAGTTACAGTTACATTTTTTCAGGATGAAGCCTTCGATGACGGAATTATGAACGACAACGCCTTCCCGTGCGGCCAATTGCAGGTAGCCTCCGAAAATATCTTTTCAAGGAACACTTAGGTGTGTTGGGCAAAGAGAACGAGGTGTTCGATTTTGACGTAACCGATCCCACTTCTGACCACTTTTACAACGACATTTGGCGCAAGACCGCCAGTTTGAACACGGAGTTCTATGAAAAAGTCTTCCACTGCTTGCCAACTGATAGCGTACAAACTTTTGCCGATTTGAAGAGAAATCACGAAGAAAAGCCTTTGTGGATCTCAGAATATTCGAGGGCGCAGAAAATGTTGGAGAGCATCCAGGTAAGTTTTAGTTTCTGACATAGGTCCTAGTATTTTGAAAATCTAGCATTGGACGTACAATTAAAAAAACTGTTGTCTGATCTGAAAAAATTTGGACGAATAAAATCTCGGGTATAACATATTTATTACAGGATTTTATATGACACCGCCATACCATACTATAATAGGATGCAATAATGTTAATATGAAATAAAAATTCAAAATTCAATCGTCAATTTTCTTAGGGTCATCTTGTACTCCTGCCGCTGAACTTCATCTGCAAAGAATGCCTGACCCCTGCAGCGAGTTCTGTAGAAGGAATGATGCCGACATCTTTATGGACATAGTGATCTAGTATAGGTTATTTCCCAAAGAATAAGCCAATATTTCTCATAAATTATTAGCCCCTCAATTGCCATCACTAGGCATAAAAAAGTGTTCCTTCAAAATACTCATGCAATTTATCTTGTGTTCGTTTTTACTCACAGTTGTTTGTTATATACATAATACTTTTTTAAAAAAAATTTAAAGACTTCAGTATACATGTTTTTATCAATGATGTGCCTTCGTCTTTTCGCAATTTGTGCGTTTACACGTTATTATATTTGCATTTATGTGCAGTACAAAAATAGGAACGATATAATCGATAATTATTTTTAGCTATTTGTAAGAGCTAATATTTTATATATCGTATTTATTAAACAGGTGGGTGTTGGTGCTGTACTTAGATATAATTTAATGTGATAGAAACATGCCTTTTTGCGTAATATTAACACGGATGCAGTATTTTTATAACTTTACAGTATTTTTCATTAATTCCATATACTAGATGACAAAAACAACAAAGATATTAAACAGTTTTTGTTTAATTATTTCAATTACTTTTAAAAAGAAGGCATAAAATATATTTGTTTAGATAAATAATGCTTGGCTATTCTATTTCGTTTTTAATTCATCTGTAGCTATTTATTATTTGTTGATAATACATTCTTGTCAAAATTAATAACAGCTTTTTATTTCCCCCCCCCCCCCATTCCATATTCCTTGCTGTGGTCATAAAAAAGTATTTTTGACAAATACTTAAGCTAGCAGATCATGGATTTTTTTCAAGGGGAATCATTTATAACCACTTTTAGGCGGAAAATATCGACAGTATTTCGCTGAATGTCAACCATTTGCCCTCGCTTACATGCCTGGCAAAATTGTCAGCAAGGAGCGTCAATTCCAGCTGTCTCTGGTATTCAACCCATCTCCCAAATTAGAGTAGATGATTGGGAGTATCCTCCTTTTCATTGCAGTTCGCGTACTTTTTTCGTACCTCCTTCAGGTAGCTGTCAAAGTAATCTATCCGCAAAGCTCCATTTTCAATCCAAGTTTTAATACTTGCGATCAGAATTCTAGTCCATGGCCAGTTGCATCCCATCTCCTGTCAATGCACTTTTGTTTGGTCGCTTCTAAGATTCGGCGCCCTTTTTGTAGAGTGCGCAAATCAATTGGCGGGATACCAGCCACCACCAGCAGAACGAAAACGACACCGTTCTATTAGCATAGACCCGACGTAGGTTCTGAGCATAAGTGGTCTTTATTTAATTTTGTCAAGGCCTTGTTATAGATAGCAGCTTCGTACAGCATAATCGAGTTTGCCACTTCTGTCAAAATCCTTCGCCTCTCACTACTGGGGCCTCGATCAGATAGCATTAGTCGTATCTAAGATGTACGTCACACTCCCACATACTTTCCATCCATATGTCAAAATACCTTCTAGTCACATCGCAAGGTCGTCAGAATACCCTATTAGGTGAATTCCCGGCAGCATCTGCAACCGAAGAACCCCATCGTAGAACACGTTCCAAAGCAACGGCCCTAGGACGGAGCCCTGCGGCACTTCCATAGTTACCTTCATCGTATTTTGACCATAAGTTTCCTCTACTCTCGAGAGATTCGATGATTTTCTGCTATTGTGGCCTGTTGAAGGCATTAATCTCAAAGTTTCAGGAATAATAGCAGAAGACAGCAGCTCTCAGATTAAATCTAGGCATATACTTTTTCTGATGTTCAGGCACTCTAGGATGCTATATAAAAAATTAAGACATGAAAGCTCTGGAACACTATATATCAAGTTTCATCCTTCGATTATTCTCGAATGATACGTTGAATGTCATGCATAGTCTGCATTTTTAAATCGATACATAAAAATTCTATCTACAGAGTCGAAATAGTCGAGACCAATGATATTTTACAGTGTGTTTTGGTTTGCGTTACGTCGTTCCTAAAATTATACTGGTACTATTATACTACTTGTTTGCAATGAATGGTTCAAAAATAGATCCGGAATTCCCAGAAACATTACAACATAAAAAAACTACTACAAATCCAAATATCGATCAATGAACCATGACTCACTTACTCTCTACACTTGTTTTTTGCTCAGGGCATTGACAATGACTTTAAAATTGGTACGTTAACCTTGACTCGTAAATTCGGCTCAAGAAAAACACGTTTGGTATTTAATCACGCCGGTTTTATCATATATTTTTGTGGGATTGCGGAGGTTCGGTATCTTCAGGATTATGCTTTATAATTTAAATTTTGTACACAGAGCGGTTATAATGTTTGTTGTAAAATTTGCTTAACACTTCATTTTTATTGTTCAAATTATCAAATACAACTCGGTGCCGTTTTTATTGTAAGGGTAGCCATGAAGATGATAAATGGGAATGTTCACAATTTTTTATGCAATCGATGGAAAAAGCAGATATTATTGCTCGTAGTCTAGCACGCAAAGATGACGTTTACCAAGGAGACATCGCAAATGACAAATCTATCGTTCCAGTGCGGCGAATAAGCACAAACGCTCGTTATTGGATGCGGTCATGATATAGTATTGTGTATACGTAGTCGTGCCATAAGTTCTGTCCCTCGTTTTCAAACAAGTGTAGACCTGTTAATACTTGTCCGATTGTTTACATTGTGGTGTCAGTTGATTAAGCGCTTTTCGGGTAATTACATATACCTCAGTTTGTATTGATCTCTCGAAGCATAACGATGGAGTGGGGCAAGGCAGAGAACCGTATTGCAGTGATAGCTTTACATAAGTGTAATCACAGTGCTAGTCAGATTTTGAACTCTTACGCGGCCTTCAAATATCGCGTAAATTTGTGTCTAGGACCATTCAGCGGTACAATGAGACGTCCTCTGTTGATGACAGGCCAAGAAGCGGAAGACCTCGTCAAGTAAGGACTCCAGCACCCATCAAAGCCGTAAAAGCCAGGATTCAAAGGAATCCACTCCGGAAGCAGAAGATCCTATCCAGGGAAATGAAGATTCCTGTCCGGACGATGTCGCGCATCATTAAACAAGACCTAGGGCTAGGGGCTTACCGGAGACGTACGGGCCAGCGACTTACGGCCACCTTGCGACACATCAGGGCGACAAGATCCAAGAAGCTCTTGGAGAGGTACGCAGCTGGGGGATTCCGAAAGACTTTGTTCACGGATGAGAAAATCTTCACCATAGAAGAAAAATTCAACCGACAAAATGACAAAGTGTATGCAAGGAGTTCACAGGAAGCTTCGGAGATCATTCCGAGAGTTGAGAGAGGCCACCACCCTGCGTCAGTCATGGTTTGGTGGGGGGTGTCCTACGAAGGGGTCACTCAGCTCCATTTCTGTAAACAGGGCGTGAAAACAAAAGCGGCAAACTATCAGAGCGACATACTGGATCCTATCGTCAAGCCTTTAAGTGGTACATTGTTTGCCAACCAACACTGGCTCTACCAGCAGGATTCCGCCCCCGCTCACAAGGCTAAGAGTACGCAGCGCTGGCTGGAAAGCAATGTGCCAGAGTTCATTGCTGCGGAAGATTGGCCCTCAGGGAGTCCGGACCTCAATCCTTTAGACTACAAGTTGTGGGACCTGCTAGAGCAGTTGGCCTGCTCCAAAGCCCACCGTAATATCGAGTCCCTGAAAGCGGATTTGATCCGATCAGCGGGAGCTATTCCTTTGGAAGCTGTGCGTGCAGTGATAGATGAGTGGCCCGCGAGATTGAAGCAGTGTGTGAAGGCCAAGGGGGGACATTTTGAATAAAACTGTTTGATTATGAATTCTAAAAATGTTGTCGAATAAATAATATCTTTCATATAAATATATCTTATCTTGTTTCATTTTTATCATGAGATTATCATGGGACAGAACTTATGGCACGACTACGTATATGGATTCTTATTCTTATCAGTGTTATAACTTCGAAGTTGAGTCATTTATTTTAACAGTGAGTAGATCTGATCAAAAGAAATGTTTTTTCCTTTACCATTTTTCTGGTAAAATTAAAGTAACAAAGTTATAGCCCTTTGGAAGTTTGATTACCGCACTGTCTCAATAATAATATTATGTGCTCGTGTTTGGCGACAACGGATATAATTCGCTTTATCGGTTCATCGCATCGGAAACAAAAAAGCGAAAGAATTTGGAACGATGTTTTTACAATTATTTCATTTAGTTGTATACAGTCAGTGTCAGCCGGTAGTGGATAGTGGTGTCTGTTGCGTGGCTGAAACGAAATAAAAAATGGCACATGTTTATGCGGAGCGGTTTCCCAATCGAGTGCAACCAACCCCTCGTGCCTTTGTTAATGTAGTACAACGGGTTCGTGAATCATTTGACTTAAGACCTCACATATGGACGGCATGCCGGTGCTCCAAGACCTCACGATCAAATACAGGTCCTCACTGAAGTACTTGTCGGGAGGATACTTTATAAAACAATGTAAATTTTTTTTTTATTTTTTTTTTATTTTTACACACGTATTTTGGTTTATCTTCCTTCTACAATCATTATCTGAAAATTAATGACTCAACTTCAAAGTCACCCTGTATAAGAAATGTTGTCGCGTATTTCTCGTTAATAAACAAGGAAATATTAAATTGCTCTTTGCTCTCCAAAACCAAAAACAGGCATTATTGCTCTATTAGTGATGAGTTACCAGTGAACCTGATGACGCCATTTTTCGGTCACGCTTTGTCGGAAACGTGTAACAAAAGACGTCCTTTAAAACGCTGACATTTTGACGTCTCTTTTAGCACAGTCAGTACTGAAAAATTAACACTTACCTACAAAGAAAACATAGACATATAATGAACAGTAAGGTAAGCTATACAGGGTGACTTCCGAAGTTGAGTCATTTATTTTAACAGTGAGTAGATCTGATCAAAAGAAATGTTTTTTTCCTTTACCATTTTTCTGGTAGTTCCTTTGGAAGTTTGAGTACCGCCCTGACTCAATAACAATATTATGTGCTCGTGTTTGGCAACAACGGATATAATCCGCCTTATCGGTTCATCGCATCGGAAACAAAAAAGCGAAAGAATTTGGAACGATGTTTTTACAATTATTTTATTCAGTTGTATACAGTCAGTGTCAGTCGGTAACGCGTGAGTGAATAGTGGTGTCTGTTGCGTGGCTCAAACGAAATCAAAAATGGCACATGCTGAACTTGTGGACATGATTCTTATTTACGCGGCATCACGGATTTATGCGGATCGGTTTCCCAATCGAGTGCAACCAACCCCTCGTGCCTTTGTTAATGTAGTACAAAGGGCTCGTGAATCAGGTGACTTAAGACCTCACAGGGGAGGGCATGCCGGTGCTCCAAGACCGCACGATCAAATACAGGTCCGCACGGAAATACTTGTCGGGAGGATACTTTATAAAATAAGGTAACATTTTTTTAATTTTTTTTTTATTTTTACACACATATTTTGGTTTATCTTCCTTCTACAATCATTATCTGAAAATTAATGACTCAACTTCAAAGTCACCCTGTATATCCAGATACGAATAACTTGATTGTTATTTATAAAAAAGTATCACGAAATCTTCGACAAACAATATCTTGTTAATATGATTTTTCTGATAATATTATTCCATGTTAAGAT